CCAGGATTTAACCATTTGACTGCATAGTCAAGCTCAGGTCTCCATCACTCAGAACAAATCTGGTGTATGAGCTGCAGGGTGCAAGTAGAGAGATTACCTTTTCCATTCAAATGATTGAAACAATTGTTTTTAACTCTGATGGAAAACAATTGAACAAAGCAGTTTCTCAGGCTGAATAATAGGGGCTATGAGGCAATTAAATATCTATTAAAAAAACAGAAGTAAAAACCCAGCTGTGATTCTTAGTTTTTCATCTTTTAGAAGAGAGGTAAGGGAAAGAGAACTGAAATGAAGTAGAAGAATTGATTGCTTTAGACTTCATGACTCTAAATGAAAGACTAGCTTGGGATATTGGCAAACTGATCAGCAGTACTTGTTTTTGTGATTACCAAGTAACCATGGAGATGAAGGGTTGTAGGCAAATGATGCTGCATAATAGATATGTTTTGGATAACTACATCTAGAAGAAGATTCAAGGAGTGAATTGATGATTGAAAGCACTTTACTGAGAGATGCTGTCACAGCATGTACTTCAACTACCAGCATTTTTTCTCAGGAGGAAAATAGCACTGTTTTGCTAGCTGGATGAATAGGTAAGAGAGGTTTGCAGGAGAAAACGGCATTTGCTCTATTTGCTCTACTGCTAGACTTGCGGGAAACAAGTGCCAGGGTGTGACTGGTTGGATTTTTAAATGCCATCAGATTTACCTCACTTCTTTTGAGGGACAGTGCTGTGTTGCCCTTCTACGCTGAGACCCTCTGAGAGGGGCTGCACAGTGACGGTTCCCACAGCACCCAGAGCTAATATGTGCAGCCACACAGGAGAGCCCATTAGCTGTGGCTTGGCACCATGATAGCAGCAGTCATGATACATCAGTTGGTGTGGAGCCAAGCTGCAACACATCTGCTGCTGTCCATAAGACAGACTCTTACAGGGAATGGGAGGGAAAACCTTATACTTGGGAAAGTGCAGGCTCAGAGCAAATGGTGTGGGGGAGTGAGAAGCGAGCTCTTCCTCTCCCCATCAACAGCAGGAAAGGGGGTTGAGTGGTTGAATTAGGCAAGGTATACCCTCACTGCCACTGCTTCTGTGGCACATCTGCTGTGTCTTGATGGCTCCATCAGCCAGACCTAACATGTGAACTGAAAGAGCTGGAAAGAAACTGGATCCACTGCTGACACTGTGGTAGAGAAACTGCAGTTAATGGGAGGATAGAGACCAGTTACCCCTTTTGTCACCACACTCCAACCCATCTGGTTCTGTGGCTGGCTTGGGCAGTGTCTTGCAGCTTGCATTTTTATGTGGAATTGAGTACTCATTAATAACACATTTGACATATGTGGTTTAAGAATTGCTCTAGTGAAATGTATTCTTTTCGGGACAAATACTGCCAGCTCTGCTGTGCACTTTGCTTACCAATTTGTAATTGTCATGCGTGCTTTATCATGTTGCAGTCTTTATCTCAAGAGGTGTGGGCAGTTCTAGGGAAGTGAACTGAATTTTATATAATTAAGACAGCAATGTTTGCTGCTAACCATGAAGGGTCATTGTGTAATTGTAAAGGCTCTTATTAAAATACAGTGGATCGACTCCAAAAGAAAATAATTGCTTTGGGCTTTACTGCTGGCCTTGTTTTTTTCCCTCTTGCATATATTTGGATAGTGTTACTTTAGAACATTGTTTATGCTAAGTCTAATTAGTTTGCTTCTTCAAGGAGGGCAAAATGATTCTGTCAAAAAAAAAACCAACGTATTTTGCTGCAGCTGGAAGTATCTTGCCAGTGAATTGTTATGATTTGTACCCCTGAGCTTTGTGATTTATTGTACATGACTAGAAAGACCCATTCCAGGCTAACATGAAATAGCAGATCTGTTCTTTTTGAGGATAGATTGAAGTTGTAAAATCTTTTTATAACCAAGGCTATGTTTTTGTCATGCTCCATTTCACAAGTTTGTCCATTGATTTTTCCTGTCCCAGTTTAATGTGGAACAAAGGGGCATTATGATATGTTAGTTCTTTTAAAGGCTATTTTTACTGACCCTGACCACTGCCATATGGATTTCAAAACTTTGAAATTTATGTTCTTCTGATCCAGAACACTTGGAAGAAGTTGTGATATTAGAGAGGACAGCTTTCGGCCCAAGAATTGAATTAATGCAGAAACCACATCAAGCAGCAAGGCAGGAGTTTAATATTATGGAACTGTTTCATTATCATTTTAATGACACTAAGAATTGGACAAAATACTATCCATGTAGAGTTCTTGAAGGTTTCATTACTTAATGTTTGTCTTGGACTTTGAGTGTTAGCAGACAGCAGAACTTCTTAACTAAATGCTTGTATTCTTTAGAATTATTTAATTTATGTAGGTTTTGTATGAAGAGGCAAATGAGATCTAAAGACTGAAATACAAGGGGCTTGCCTGTAAACAATAACAGCATGCAACTTCCCTGGCTTAAGTTTTCATTCAGGTTGCAGTATGAGTGCCATCCCAACTGTCAGGTAGCAGTTCCTTATGCCAGCAGTTCATAATTTTCTATATTCCTGTAACACTGTATTTGTCACTTTTATTTGAACACAACAGAGAAGCCATGGCAAGCCAGGAGGATCACTATACATAGGCCTATGAAACTCCTAGGACTTTATTTGACTGGTTTGAAACCGGACATCCTGCTCAGTTTCAAGCAAAACAAATACAGTGTTTCTTGATTTATGGCAACATTTTGGAGAGTTTGATTATTTAGAAGAAACCTGATGTGCCAAGGAGGAGTGCAGAACGGGAATATATACTCCCAAGGGACATTTTCATTCTCCTCTCTGATCTCTGATCTGTTGTTGGAGGTGGGCAGAGTTCATCCTTGACCCTGTATACTGTTTTGGGCTGGGATAAATTTCATTTTCCTCTTAGTTGGTGGTCCACTACTCTGTTTTGGATTCAGGATGAGAATAATGTTGATGACAGACTGATGCTTTGGTTGTTGCTGAGCAGTGCTTACCATAAGCCAAGCACTTTTCAGTTTCCCTGTCAATGTGCATAAGAAGCTGGGAGGGAACATGGCCAGCACAACTGACCTGAACTGGCCAAAGTGATATTCCATACCCTAGAGTGTCATGTTCATATATAATCTGGGGAGTGTTACCCAGAACAGGGGTTGACTGTGGCTCAGGGACAAGCTTGGTATCTGTCAGCATGTGGTGAGCAATTATATTGTGCATCAATTTTTTTCTTGTGTTTTACCTCTATCTTTCCCCTTCTCCTTTTTACTGTAATTGGTTTTGTTTATTGTTATTGTTGCTGTTACTACTATCATTTTAAATTTGCTTCAATTATTAAACTGTTTTTATCTCAGCCCATAAATTTCTTTTTTCCCTGATTCTCCTCCCTGTCTCACCTGGGGAGGTGGGAGGGTGAGCAGCTGTATGATGCTTGGTTGCCAGCTGGGATTAAACCACAACACACTGACAATTGAAATTCCATGAACTGTCCTTGCAAAACTTTCTTCTAGGGGCAGGGCAAGGATCTTCAGAAACAATGTCACAGCTATCCCCAAAATGTCTGCCTGTCTGCAGTAGATTCAGAGCTTTCTGAATCCTCTGGCCATTTTAACAAACTTTTCCTTTGGTTATTTCCCTGGTACCTCTTGGCTGAGAGCACTGCAGAAGCACATACACTTCAGTCTAATGGTTTTATTGTTTAGGCTTCTGCCTTCTATCTGACTACCGGAACTGTGCTATTCAGACCTCAACAAGTTGGCAACAGAAAGCAGATACATACTTCCCAGAAAAGCTTATTGCACATACCATCCTTTACCAGTCTTTTAGAGCAGGTTATATGAGCTAGCACCTCTTGTGCTTGCAAAAGTGAGCCCTGGTTGTGTAACTACCTAAGAGTGAATAGAAAAAAGTGAACTTTGTGTTTGTTGGATTTGTCAAATATAATAGAGTTCTTCAGAGAAGATTTGTGTCATTCTTGTCCTCTTGAAAACTTTCCTTCTTCAACCTGCGCTGAAAATAGACAGATGAAGAAAGAAAACAGCTTTGCTTAGACACCATTAATGACATTGTCTTGTTTGTCAGATGACTTTCTGCCTTCTCATACAACTTGGCCTTGTTCAGTGAGACTATTTGCATAAAGTAAATCCATGAAGGAATAAATAAGATAAAAATACCTAAACTCCATCTGACAGCCTGAGTTCATCTCACTCTGAGACTTGGGCACCCGCAGTGAGCCATTAGGTACCTGGGTAGTAGGTGAGACACTCTGAGGAAGTGGAGATACGTAGTCCCACCCTGACTGCAGTGCTTTAGCGAAACTTCCTGTCACTGAAGCTGATTCCTGCTGCAGCCAGTCACAGTCCCTGTAGGTTTCATCTGAGTTTGGAGAAAGACTTAAATTCTGCTTAGCTTCCCAGTATGCTTTCCAATTTCTTATCAGAATCTTAATAAACGGTCTTGCAGCATAGGAGTTAATTAATTTCTCTACTGGTTCTCAGTCATGGAAGGTCAGACTGTCCTAAGAGAAGGAATACTTGCAGGGAATATAAGAGAATATCATGTACAAACATGCTGACCCTAACTAAGCAGAGATCACAATCATATAAGGAAAGGCAGATAATAAAGAAAAATATCAAGACATGAAGGCTTTGTAATCAGTCATTTGAGGTTACAACACAAATAAATAAATGAAGGCATAAATGTATATTTTGATGTATTAGTTAGTTACTTTGCATGCTTTAGCATACATATGTAAAGGCACTCTACACAAAGCATGCCTTAACACGCCTTTTGATACACTAACTTCATATAAGAATAACATTTAACAAGTAACATTTAACAAGTAACAATAACAAGTAAATTGTGATTGTAGAAAAAGCTCCTGTGTGTTACACACACATATATAAGCACATAAGACAGCATGCTTTTTTAAGAGGATATACCTTTTCTACATGATTCTTGGTAAAATTGCTTTTTGGTGATTACTTTCTCCTTATTCTCCTAGCTTCAAGCAAATGCCAGCTCTGCCAGACCTGATTTACTTACAAATGCAGTTCATGAATTTCCAGTGAGTACTTCATGGTTCTTTTAAGATATGTGATGTTTCAGAACTCTAAAGGAACAAAAAATTTTAAACTGAAAAAGGGCATAGAGGCACATTATTTATTTATTTATATTTCCTTGTACTTTTTATAAGGAAACTTTGATATAAGTATAGTATTTTTCAACAAAGTGAGATTAGAGCTCATATATGTATTTTCTGTACTTTCAGATAATTGAAACACTTCAGGTAATCTAGCATTCATTCTGGTGCTCGAGATTCAAAAGTAGCAGTCACATTTCTGCAAACTCCAGCAGGTTTTGACTATAAATTGATGACTCTTGTCTGCCCATTCTTGCTCCCATTAATATTTCATAAAGTTATGAAATACTTTTATGCAGTTTCACACTGAACATATGCAAGGGGTAAATGTAATGAATCAGTCAGTGGGTCTCAGCTAGAATAAAGGCAATGAAAAAAATTCCTGAAATACTAGTAGGCTGTTAGACATAGACAGCACAGCTCTCACTGAACTCAGAATGTTTCAGAGAATATCCCTTGAGCAGCTTTCCTGCCTGGATACTTGGGAATATTGGGATTTGTACACAGGCAGACTGTAAAATACTGCTGAGATAGCAGTAACTCTGAAGTTCAATGTCTTTCTTTTTTCCCCCCAATTTTTAGCAGCCTTTCAAAGCCCCTTAGCTAAGATGCTGTACAGTGAAGTCTTGTGCCAGAAAGAAACTGGGCAAACCTTTGAGACTGTAGTTAAAAGAACAAAAACGCTAATGGTCACCCTGGGCAACGACTAGCAGAACACACATACAAATTAAAACTTGTTCATAATAACAAAAACTTTACCCTTTAGAGAGTGTGAGTTGAAAGGAATGAGAAAAAAGATTTTTTTTAAGAGTCTTCATTACATTTAAATTATTTTTTCTTTGGAAACTCATTACCCTTGCAGGCTCTTTTTCAAGAGCAATATTGCAATGATCTAAGTTGCCATAGTAAGTATTTCAGTTCATGTCTGAAAAAGTTACACATTTGAAAACCCTCTGCTGAAGATATTTTATGTAGAAAGATGGAGTGGTGTATATTAGAAAAATCAAAAGGGTTTTCTTTTTTTTTTTTTTAAATCTACAAAATCTTTTCCTTTTGACTTGAAAATATTAATAGTAGTCATGAAAAGCACATGCAGACACTCTAGACTGTATGAGAGGCTGCATTTTAGGAAAGTGTCTGGTTGTATGGAGACATTTTACTAACTGTATTTCACATTTGTTTTTCTGTATGATTTTACATAAAACACTTCAGCTACTTCTGACTTCCAGCTGTACAGAATTTACCTAATCAAAAAAGAAATCTGCTGGGACAGTTTCTCTGTCCTACTTAAACAGCCTTCTTTGGGATCTTTTGTTGGACTCTACCCTGTTCTCCCCTCTACAAGTCTTCCTCCAATTAAAGAAGCTGTTTAACTTTAACATGTGGCATAAGAGCTACTGGAGTTAAATATTCAGTTGGTATAGGAGCAGGAAATAAGATGGGATTTTCATATTATCTGATTGAGTTGAATGTCACTACTTTCAAGATTTCTGAGGTGGTATAAATGCTTCTGATTATGTAATTTTGCAATAAAACAAACATCTAAAAGTAAAAAAACCCAACACCTTATTTTGAAAGTAGATGTAAATTATGTGAACAAAGATTTTCTACTTATTTTCACAATTAGAAATAGTGCTTATTTAGAGAGTAGCTAGGTAAATTAGCATAGCTGCCTTACTGTGTGTTTTCAGGCCTTTCCTGGTGTTCACCAATACTGTTCTAATAAATCGATTTGTGCTAAACCATGGGAAACAGGACAGGCCTTGTCATACATTTACAGATAGGAGAAAGATTAAGCAGTTGTCTTGCTTAGGATCTCCTAGGGAATCTGTGGTAGAAGTTAGACATGCATACATACCTGATACTGCAGAACAGTTCCTTACCCATAAACTGATATTTTCTCTCTGCTGCCTTTCTAGAGAAGAATACCTCTTTTAATCAACCATTCAAAAAAATACTGAATGTAAAGCATTTCTTAGGAATTGTTAACTAGCTTTTAGATTCACTGTTGCCCATCAGTGAAGAAAGAGAATTTAAAGGAATTTCACAGTGACAGATTATATGTAGTTCAGTTCCTAGCACATTGCCAGTTTTCTGTTGTTCCTCTCTTGGGTTTTCATTGGATTTGAAACCTTGAAAAACAGTCTAAAAAACAAATTGGCTAGGGGAAAAAACCCCTCAGTTGGAGATGCAAACCTGGTGAGAACTTCATTGAAATCAACAGAGAATTAAATGAAGGAAAAGATTATGGTAAAAAGAAAATATTTCAGTTCTGACCAAAACCAAGACAGAAGTTCAGTCTTCCATAATGGAATTAATTCTTCTTGTACTTAAGATAGCTGTGAAACCTGAATCTAAGATGTTTTCTCTAAGGATTTGATGGGCTTTTTTAGCTGTAGCAGAACATTCTAACTGACGTCTTTTTGCTTATGGATGGGTTTTACATAGTTCTAGATGATGTTAATAGAAACTTTTGAAAAGGAAGAGTTTGAGGTTTTTAAAATTTTCTCTGTTACAGATTTACATTTACAATACCAGTTAGTGTTTTAGAGTAAAGTTCTGGAAATCTACTTTGGAGGGGATTCCTGGAGATGCTAATGAATGCAGAGATGCTTGAAGAAATTACTAAAATATTAACATTAGAAATGGCTTTTTCAATATACAAAGACAAGCATAACCTCCGTGAAACAGACATAAGAAACATCAAGTCCTTTAAAGAAGGTTGGTAAATAGTCCTCAGAAGTTAAAGCTAATAGAGCTAAGAGCCAGAAAATCACCACTACCCAAATTAGGTCTCCTTGATATGCATATTGCTTTTGTGCATGATTATGATTAAATATTTATTAAGTAATAACATAAGGAAAGCTTGTTCTCTCTACTGTTTTTGAAAAACAGTTATTCCGATAGACTAACACTACCTGGTTCAAGTTTTTAAAGCATAAGAAACAACCTTATAGTAAAATAAAACACATTTAAACAGATAAAGATGTGCTGTTGAGAAAAAATGGAGCACTGACAATACTTCCAGTGAAATACTTGAGCTACAAGACAAATCAAGGCATAAGTACCATGGAGACATGCCTACCCATAGGTCATATACTGAGGTCAGAATGTCAGTATTCTTTGCTGGAAAACATGTGGGTTTTTTTGCATGCACAGCAACACAAATTACCCTTTATTTGAGTAGACACACAATTTTCCCTGAATATTTTTCCCTTGTGGATGTAAAAAACAAAAGTTTTAAAATAGATTCAATAGCTGAATCGGGAAGAGCCTGACAGTTCACATCAGGTGGAGCCCACTAACAGGTGAAATCAATACTAATAAGAAAGGAGAAAGCATTTCTTTTAACACTCATGTTTCCTCTAAACACATAGAATTTTGGATGTCATCACATCACATTCTTTTATTCTTATTTGAGCACTTTCAGTGCTAATATAGGCAAGATAAATTAAGCAGAGTTCGTTTGAGTGTTTTTTAAAAATGTTACTGAAATAAATCAGAAAAGAGAAAAAGTGTCTCATGACTTATTTAAATTTCCAAAAGGGACAGTTGTTTTATCCTATACACTGTGGAAAGTGACCCATGTTCCTACACATTTTACTTACCTAAAAGTTACTTTCTGTGAAGATGTGGAATTTTATTCCACCCTTATTTTTTTTTGTTGGGTGTTTCACTGATATGTCCTATAAATATTACCATATAAATTTATTTTAATTAATTTATCTATGTCTGTGCTTGGAAACAAGAAAAGATTAACTTCTAGTCATTTTGTAAAAAAAAAAAAAATAGTGGGCAGATATGTGTCATATTTCATTTATTTTCAAACTTTGAAGCATTATATTGTATTTGAAAAATATTGCAACAACCAAATGTGCTTGGTTACTTGACTGAGCTCATAAATAAATGAGAAGTTTGACATTTTCACAGAAACAATAAGAGATATAAACAGAAGTGATGTTGAGAGTTCATTTCTCATTCAGTTTGTGCAAAGCCAAAGGCAGGTATACTTGTGTGTCCAGCAAAGATGTTTTTCCAACCTATTCTTAACAAGTCCTGAAGTGAGATCTTCAAAATAACTCCTTGTTAAAATTTTGTAGAATTTGGATTTCCTTATTATTTGAAAATATTCTGATGTCTTTTTAATGTGCATATTTCCCACTTTTCTTCCTGAAAAGTGAAATATATGTTTCAGATGGTGGAAAAAGAAGTCCTGCAATGGTGCTGTCCTTCTGCTTAAATGTGGATGAGGTATTTTTTTCAAGTCTCAAGTAACATTTCACTACCTCTCAAAAAAGAATCATGTCAGTTACACTTCTGTGTCATTACAGCAGCGCAAGATCCTGACTTCCTGTTCTTTAATCATCCATATACCGAAATGCCTTTGTCTTATTTAGAGGCTATGCAAGTGAAATCTTTCAAAACCAGAGTTAAAGTAGTCTCTAGTATGAAGGTTTAACAGGATAGAGACATTTAAGAAAATATCCAAATGGTGTATAACTGATATTCTTGCACTGTTTTATATTAAAATGCTGAAACTAAAACCAAAACTGATCAATAGATATTTCTGTGAAACAAGACAGTGGCTTTTTGGATGGAAAAAAAAATCATTCCTATATGGCAGTTTATTAAAAGAAATGGAAATAAAGACTTCTCTGTGACTAAATCCCATTGCAGATGTAAAAACAAACATATTTTTGGGTGTTTGTAAAAGAGACGTTATGAAAATCTGATCTTGTGTAACATATTACAATAAAAAACATTGCCTAGTGTTAAAACATGATTGGAACTGACAGTGATGTGTTTCCTTTCTATTGAAGGGCTTACGCCTGCAGAATTTTGCATAAATCTCTTAGTAACCATTAAATCTCAAATGGAATCAGTCAGCCTCTCTGCCGTCTCTGAGACCAGTCTTATCACAAGTA